AGTTGTGCTTCACGTTTTCTCCGCACGGCTCGCTGTTTTTCTTCGAGCTCAAGCTTTTTACTATTAGCCTCGTCCCATCTAAAAACAAAAAACAATATCCCCTGAGATTAACCAAATTACATTGCAATTGGAAAACATTCGGAAAATCTCACGCACTTGCCCTCTTCCATAAGCCGTTGATCGGGTCGTAGCCGGCTATCTGTTGGGGCTACTCCCGGTTCCGGCTCATTCAGCTCGATCGCCAAACGAGTGAAATTGTGCATTCGCTCCGAACCGGGACTGAAATATACAGAGCTTAAAATTAGCGACCATTCAACATCAAGCATCTAGCCCATTAGATTGATGTCCACTGAGCCAAATAGGAAATCGTAACCCAGAAAAAATTACTACTATAGCAACCCAACCATCTCCTCAGCTAATGCATCAATGCTTCTTTCGCGCAAAAATCGCGTCCTTCAAAGCTTCCCACGATAGAAAAGAAAAAAGAAAATGGCATTCCACTCACGGCGGTGGATTGACCGTCCAAATACGTTTCGGTTCGGAATCGGTCTCGAGACGTGCCTTGTCACCAGTTCCTATTCGTCTTGTGACCTTCAGCATATCTACATGAGAATCCCAAGTGCCTTGAACCACGAAGTGGGGCTCCCCTCGCGAGTCTCGTACAACACCGTAAACCTGAATACTACGTACTTCAACTATCTCCATTGAGAGAACAAAAACAAAACAGCAATCTCGCTTGTAACTAGAAGACTTTCCTGCCTCCATACAATTCTAAGTAACTCTTCCTAAGCCAGGTGAACAAAAATCGACCCATAGGAGTAAATGTACATAGACCTTCTCGCCGGTCTGACCGCCCTACTCGGGTATGTAGGGAAAGGATCTCGACAACATCATGCACCATTTGGACTCGCTAATGAAGGTCGACAGCCGCTACTCACAGCATCTCGCTTTAAAGACGACATCGTGCTCATAACACCGAACATTGAGCAGGTGGAACGATATTGGCTAGATTCAGCAGCACTGTTGGCAAGGGAGGAATATGATACCTACCTCAAGGGAGGTGCTTTCACTCAACTAGAAGCCTCCAGTAAACGAATTATTAATAACTAGCCTCAAGTGTGTCATGGACAAATTTACTCACGTAGCCAAGCATGAAATTCAATACTTAAGCACCGGAATACAAGCAAAAATAGCATTTGAGTACACAGAACAAGTCATAGCAAAGGGCAGCAAGTTAGTCCGCTAATGATAAGTCTTGAATGTACTCATCAAGAGGTAAAACCCTGCTCGGTTAGTTTTGAGCAATTGAAAGGGAAGAAAACTGGAAACAGGATGTCTCAGTAAAATTCAAATTGAATAGCGTAGTTGTAAAAAGTATCGTTGAGAACTAACCTTTCTGGGCGCCTCTCTACTGAAATATGAATATGGGAAGAACTTCACTACACATTTATCACCAGTACCATGATTAATGATTTCCATATCACCATGATTATCGATCCACAATTTGCCGACAATAATATTGTGAACAGTGGTCGTTATCTATAACCGCAAAATGAAAAATAACAAAGAATTGGTTGGGAAGACTTCGTGAATGCTCACCTTTTTATACGAATAATGATTCTTAGTACCCGGAAAATAGACATGTGTATAGCCGACCGGTATCACAGATAGGTACTTGCCCCGGAAACGGCTCGTCATCGTGAAGTCCTGATACATTACCCAACCATTACCTTCAGCATAATGTGCAGCTGCAGGAGGATGATGAGAAACCTTAAAAACAAGTGAAATAACCGACACCAATTCTAGGGTGCCCTCCAAACCATGAATATTTGATGCTCTTTCAAGCATAATAACCTGAAGACCGTATGAGTTTGGTCTCGAGAGGAAAGACTGGAGCACTTTTAGAAAGACTCCTCAGGTTACGTTACAAAGTTTACCAACCAAAGATTACAAACCCTCACTCTACATCGATAAGATAAAAACAAAGGTTATAAAAAAATTTTGAAAAAAGCAAAATCCCACCTGCTCAGTAATACTACGCCATCCTAGGTCAGTTGTACGATCGCATTCATAAGTCTCTCCTAATAACGGATTGAATGGCTTATTCGTACGATTTCCTGTCGTTGAATAGTTACTGACACCATATGCTGCTACGTAGGCCAATTGTTCTAGTGGTCCCTGAAATCGTGCCACTCTCAAATGGGAGGAAAGTGGAAAGACAGGAAGGTTGTTCCTACGGTGAAAATTATTAGGGGATTGGAAAACGTTTCAAAATACATCATTTACTTCAATTGCAGTAAGCATTTACCGACTACAGACGTAAGCAAAGGCCCGTGGGACCATTTCATGCTCATCCCAGCTTTACAAATGACTAACCGATGGATACTCATCTAAGAGGTCAGTTGGTCTGGTGTAGTCAATTTAACAGACCGACCAGGTCCTTAGGACAAGGCGCTCAAATCGTGAGAAGCAACAGCTTTCCTAATACTCTAAGATATCCTTAAACAAGTAAACTAGAGTAGAACAACGACAACGAGTAGAACATACCAGAGTGGAAGCCGTTTCCAGTAAGTTCGCGTATTCCAGATCTTCGGTTATTCGTTGCAGAACCGATAATGGTTCACTGAAGTTCACCTAAACCGATAACTGATCAAAGAGCCCGAAAGGCTGAATCAGTACCTTAATCAATTGGGTACCTACCGGCATAGGAATCTTCGACAATTCCTTTCCTATACAGTTCTTCATAATCGACCAGAGATTAATCGGTAGATCTGGACGATCCGGAATTGTCGTTCGGCGTTCACGACCACTACGAGCACGGGGCACTGCGATCGCTTTGGCACGAGCAGGCTTGAACGACGATGGCGTTGGTGTCATAACCGAAGTGGACCGCGGCGGAGCATCATTCAACGTGGACAGCGATTCCGAATCCGAATTGCGATCAGAGCCTTGCCTCCTGAAACATACCACTCCATTTAAAAACCAAAATTACTCTAATTGAATGCCATATTTAGTCTAGTAACCTTTTCATTGTTATCTTCAGAGGACTAAACACTGATCAGGGCAGTGAAATGATTGTTTTCTACTCGACCGCACGTCCGACATCCTTTTTAGGATCGTCGACACCACATCATGGATCTTTACCGAAGCACCTCAAATCGTGTCAGCAACGGTAGCGGAAATGTACGACTCGACGACTATCACGCTATATGGAGGAGGGATGACAGAGACTGCTCAATTTCACACATAAGCTGAAGGAACAGATCACGATACTTTAGAGTCAGTAGTTTTAGATGGATAGGGAAATGATAGTCCAAAATAGTGCGGAAGTGGCTAAGAGAATATCGGCGTGTTTGGAAGAATATAAGCCTCGAAAAATATGGTAAAATTAGGAGTCATATTAGAATAGGACGATAAAAGCGATGGAATGAGCATTTGGACGAGCTGTTCGAATGTATGTGCCATTGCGTACAGCTGGCTAAAAAAAACTGCCTGCGCGCAACATGGTATTCCTGGTGCGAATGGTTCAACCTCTACAGCCTCTATAACGCCGTGCGAACTCGTCCGCCTTCGGGTATGTAAGAGGCTAGGCCTGTTTTTGGGTCGACCTGCGCCGTTTTTCCACCCAACAGCGTCCCTTGTGCTGTCAGTATGGTAGACAAGGTAGCAAAGATTAAATTCTCGAATATTCCCATTCAGGGAACTCATTTCTAACCAATAACATTATGGAAGTCGTTTTCAATGGAAATAATGATCGGCATAGATTCCATAGCAACCACAATGTCAAGTAATTTAACTGAAGCAATTCGGGAAATTATGAAAATTAGCAAAATATAGAATGAAATAGCAAGCTTCCCAAATCAAATATAGCCCAGGTCGTCACGAGACAGACTCCATCTCGACCTACGTGGTATCATAAGCGTCGAATGACCACATAACAGAAAATTACCCAAATCCCCAGAAATATACTCCGCCCTCCTTTCCCATCCCTCATTTCCCAGACAAAACAGCACTGCTGCACTCCTTGCCCACGTCTTCTAAGGTGAAAAACTGCCACAACAAAGGCCACAAAATACCAGATAGTTAAAAAGCGAAGGAAGCAGGGAAACACTGCGGTATGCTATTGGAGACTGGCTGCCGGAGACATTGCGAATGCATAAATAAACGTTACGCTATACGTGTAACGAGCGCTTCAGGAGAGGCAGAAAAAGGCGATTATAATTCATGGATCAAAATGCCGCGAGAACCCTAGACACCTTCATGCCCGTTCATCTTTAAGCTGACGTTCTGGAGCACACTAAGCAATAAGATAAGAAAATGAAACAGTCAACCCCGATGAGGCAGTGTCTTTTCCAAAGAAAATGCTCAATCTAGAAGACCTATGATTCGTAAACCTTCTGTAATAACATGGCATGGTGACTTATATCCGTTGAACCAAAAGTAATAGAGAGTAATAAGTAGGTTTAATAAAATCTGTCTCGCTAAATGTGGGAGGGCTCCTATGAGCCGGGGTACTCTGACAGAGAACAGCCAATTGAGAAGAGCTTGCCAGACAATCTTAAGATTTGCTCATCAGCCGACATGGAGCAAACCACTAAGCAAGCAGGGAACGATATTGATTTCGCTTTTAGAAGCCTCATCCAAAAGTGTTATCCTTCAGCGTTCTTATTTAGCTGAATAAACAAGAAAATCTAATCAGGAGAGCTCTGCGATTCTTCTGACCTATCCGCTAATATGCTCAAATCATCATACACAATAGAAGATAGAAAAAAAGAAAAGAAAAATCCAAACTATCAATGTGAATACAAAGAAAATTGCAGTCTTCGAGTTGTAGCCCTACAACCTTTTACAACTGTTTCTTACAACAATGTAGCTCGGCCTACATTAAAATAGGACGGAAGCTGCACTTCTTGGAAATATTGATCCCAGGGAAGACGAAGAGTTTAAACAGCCAGGGAATTTTTAGCGACAAACAATGTTCAGTGTTTGAAAAAAGCTAAGTGCTTAGGCTATAGCTTAAAGGGTAGAAGTTCCTCATGCAAAACTTTAAGAAAGGACAAATTTTCCCCTCCATACACAAGCAGCAAAACTTTAAAAACCAGGGTTGGCCACTCATAGAGACTTGGTTTCTGACAAAGTTGCTTAAGAATTTTGACAGTTCAAGTAGCGGAACTTTTTCGATCATTCTAGAATGAAAATCGTACTTTGTTAGTACTTCCGACCGCTTTTCTTCCAAAAAGTAAGTCCATTTTCAAGAAAGCTGCAGAGAAGGAAGTATCACTACCCGTTAGAGATGCTCATACACCTCTACTCTTCTCAAAATCGTCAAGTTGTTAGGATACGCATACGATCGACTTGGATTAGAAGAGACCTGGCGGTAAACAACATTTATTTACTCGTCACGTACATAAAGTGAACCGATTACGCATCTACGAATTGGGTGTCCAGTCTAAATACCATTAAACGAGCCTTCCAAGAACCTCAGCTTCACGTGACACTTCCAACCACTGAATCAAATAAGAGGAGAAACCCCATAACTTATTACAAAAAGTCAAAATGCCGAGCCAAAATCACTTCAGGGTACAGTATGTTTCGGGTGTGAGATGACATGGAATGGAGATGGAGTAGTGATATGAAGCGTTGCTAGGTTTATACGGTCCGCGGATTAAATTTCTAATCGATACCCGTCGAGGCCAATGAAGGCTTCTAATCCCAAAACCGACTAAATCATACCGAACATGCACAGAAAGATGAGAATACTGACTAGCACAAGGGCGGGCAACGGCCACTAACTACACAAGGCACACATGCATTCAAACACCACTACGATTTTGAACGATAGTTGAATGCCTGGGTGTATACCTCATCGATACTGGCCAGCACCGAAAAAAACTGCCCCTTGTCTCGAGAAATTGTGAATTTTAAAGACTTGAAAAAAATGAAGAAAATTGAGCTCTGGTCAAAGGTGTAATCGATTAAAAATAAGGACCGTTCAACATATCGGAATGAGTAGACATGAGAAAACATCAGCTCGGAGTAAATAAAATAGATAACTAAGATAAACATGGGATAAACAGAAAAAGTGAAAGAAGTAAAATAAATATGAGAGTGAAAACGTTTTTTTTTTTTNTTTTTTTTTGAAAGAAGAGCCATGAGCGAAATTGAAAAGAGGCAAACATAACAAGAGGTTGGGTTCGCATCTGGGAATGCCTACTCCCTGAGGACAACATTTTTTAGGGCCAAACTCTCGAAGGATACAGGTTCAAATCAAAAAGTAGAAACTGAATTCTCAGAGCAGGGGGGTAATCAGGCACCACACTTCATAGTTCGTACATCGGTCGAATCCTTCGATGACGATATTGGCTCCATAGGCAATCAATATCACGATTAGTCAGAACCACTCATGCGAGGAGGTGAACTGCACGCTTTGTTGCATTCGAATGCTTTCTCTAATGCTATTTTACGTAGGAATAAAAAGGCATAAGGAATATTCACCTCTGAGCAATTCGCCAAAATGGAATTACGAAACAATTCGTCAAACAACTACTTCAAAAAATCGAAAACGTCAAACTGATCATTCCAAAAAAATAAAAGGCAAGGAACAATGAACACATTCATCCACTACACCACCTGGCCCTCGTTCTATTATTGTTAGCTTGGAAACTTAGCAACTGCATATACTTTAGAAAAACTCAATTCTTTTAGTAAAAAATAGCCGTTATGTTCCGACCAAGTGATATAATACTCAGGTTCCTGACCTATAAGTATACATCAGTGCGAATAAAAAGGAGTTACCCTTCAGGACATAGGCTTGAAGCACTCGATGGAATGCGCAGTTACTCAGTTGCCAACTAATACACCCCACCTTTCCTCACATTTCAAATCATAATCGTAGATCTGAGAGGGCATGACAGAATGCATGAAACCACACTGTAGTAACTGATTCGTAGACAAGAAATCATGACTCATAAGGATGAAATGATGAAAAAGCCTAAAAAATAGATGACTATCTAGATGCACGGCAGGATGATCTTCAAGGTACGCCAAACATCCACTCTTTGGCCAAAACCATCAAAACCTCTGATCGAAAAAAGGTGCATCACGTCTTTCTTAACAACCTCAGAACAAGTCAACTCGAAAAAGAACCAAGTTTATGCCATCCGGGCTGTACGGGTGGCTTGAAAAGGAAATGGGCGGAATAAATTTCGAGCTGGAACAAAATGAATGCCGTGACTGTCATAAAAGCCATTGCTCTTAGTTGTGCTAGAGGGAATGGAAAGAATAGGTCTAATGAGCAGAATTTCCATAAAGTTTTATGGCACGTACTGGGAACCTAGTCCTACACATCGTACACACCTTGAAACCTCGAATGGTACATTTTTCACTATCCTACAAATTTCTGTTCACTAGAGAACTTTTCGAGCTCTTTGATACCTTGTTAACTAACTGTTGACAAGGGAGACACCCAAATTGCCTCAATTATTAGTTGCACTTTTGCGGGTACATCCCAATTTCCAAGTTGCGGTGTTCGTTATGCTAGCCAATACTTGAGAACTCTCCAACCTATGGCTCTCACACACGCAAAAACAGAACGCTCAAACCGGTTTTCAAAACGACCAAAACGATTATCTAGCCAAAATCATCAAACACAGTTCATATGAATTATCAAATCAGTCACTAATTTCTCAAATTTCCTACCAAAAATCATGTATTTAGTGGTATAAGGCCTTTTACGCTGTTGATTAGAAGTCAAACGTTGCCCGTGGAAAAGCGGGCAGTCATCACATGTACTTTGATTGCGTAAATGGAAACCTAATTGAATTACATTCAGTAGCATTGGCTTTCAAACGACGAACTGAAAAACCGCCCACAAAGGTCTCCCTGGATAATGTCTGAAGACCCGTTAGAGTCCACTTGATGTGAGTCGTGGTTTAGTTTGGGGGGCACCAAACGGCTAGTGATGAGTTTTCAAATCAAGGAAGCCCTCTCTCCTCCAACTTTCAATTCAGGGGACAGTTCAACGTCTCAGAACCGGTTTCAACAACGGCAGGCCTTCGGAAACGTTGAAAATGATCGAATGCGGGCTAATCGCCTTTCCCCTTTCGAATGAAGATCAAGTGCGTGGCTCGTAGCTGGTGCGTAAGGAACAATCACCGCCATCTTTCTCACATTATAAGCGGTTCTGACCATAAGAACACTTGGGTGGGAGATCCAAGTTTTCTTTAGGTCAGAGACGCTCATAAAGTGAGGTACACGACGGTGACTATTCTTTAACCTCAAGATATCCTCAAAAACTAAAGCTGTTAGCAATAGCAACTCAATGGCTTTTGACTAGCCAAGCAAACATGACTGAAGCAATTCGTAGCTGCTAACAAACATGCGGTTCCAAGACGAGATTACTGCAAGTCAACAGGGGCACTTCTTGCTCAGTTGAAGCTTTAAACGCCCTCATATGAAACGAAAAGGCCAACATAATCGATAACTTAGTCCTTGAACCATGAAATTGCTTAGAAGTCGCGACAGATTACCGATACTCTTCGTCGGGCAGCTGCCTTAAGGCGGCTGGGGGTGACTGGCGCTACCATGGGCACCATAGACACAGACGCAACAACGGCCGGCAGCAGAAAAGAGACTGCAGCCGACGGGAATAACAGCGGGGTCTTCGCCGCCGCCACCGACGCCGCCATCTGTATTGCTGCTCCCCAATCGAAAACATGGAACGAGTTTGTCCCTTTACAGACTTTGACACTTCTACATTCTGTCTTTCAATGACAACTTTTTCACCTGAACAGCTACCTCCTGGAAATAAATCCATTACTGGTGACAGAATTGCTCCTGTTCTCAACTTGCCTTGACCCAGGCAATCAGAACATGTTCTTTTCCTTGAGAGGGACGGAAATTTCCAATTTCTGGGGGAAAAGATTGTTTCCTACCGTTAGCTTGAGGAACATGACCACGACATCCGTGAAATACAAAGAGGTTTCAAGCCCTGTCTGCTGAGCCCCCGCTTTCACACTACTCCTGCTCTCGCAAGGGGTCTAATTATAGACGGTTCCGAAGTTGTATACGCAATCCCTTCCTCTATATGCAGAACCCATTCCATTCACAAGATTCGCTGAACTTTCCTCTTTCTGGGAACTGTTGCTCTTTTGGTGGGGGCTCATTTTGGAGCTGCTAGCAATTTTGCAGCCTGCAATGGATTCGTTTTTTTTGCAGAACTCAAAGTAGAGTCCAGTCATTCGCTAGCAAATGCACTCTGAGTTGCACTATAGAGTTTGTCCTTTTCAAACTGAATCGAAATCCACACAATCTGGCCCCCGAAATGAGCTGAACCCCCCAAATAGGCATGTTCTTCGAGTGTTTTTTCGAATCTATTAAACCTTCAAATCATCAATCGGTAGACTAGACATATGCCGACCGATGAGTCAACTTTAAGCCAATTTTAACATTTTTCACGAAAACCAGTTCCAAGAGGAATTAGAGAAGGCTGGCGAAGAAGGTGTCTATCAATACTCAGTATGGAGCACAATAGAGCAATTTATTACTCATCTTCCCGCTACCCAATCATTAGAAGCATGTTCAGTGGATTGGCAAGGTCAAAGAAAACGAAGAATGCACGGGCGGTCCCAACATCATATTCCCACATTAGGACACACTGACCAACGTTCCCACACCAATATTCAGTTTACCAACTGGCTTTCAGCTAAAAGAAAAACTGTCCCATAAAAGCAATGCCAGTATATCGCAGTTTCACTTCTTCCTAACTTTTGCGGACCTCCCAGAGCTTGACGTAATAATCAAGACACACCATAGCTCAAGTTCTAATGACTCCACTGAGGAAACACTTGATTAATGACCCATTAGAAGCCATACTAATAGCTTTATAAACTCAGAGAAAGCATAACTCTCTCACAGCATCAACATCTTCCGAGTATCGATTCAATAAGGAAAAGGGTACCAGTGAAACCAGTAAAAGCCGTCTAGAAAAACGATCCCAGAGAAGAGTAATTTAGTTAAAAAATGAGCTTGCACTCTGGGAATCGATTGTGTTTCTATGCTGTGTCTCAGGGCAAAGCTATGCACCACCCACAGGGAATATAACAAAATGGGCTTAACAGAATTCAACAAAGAATAACAATAAAGCACCTGAATGAAGTGTAACACCAGAAATCTATAAATACTATTACATCAAAAATTAGTACCCTTCAATTAATCGCTCTAATCCTCTCTTTTCATATTTAAGCGAAAAATCGAGAAAAACGAACCAATCAGAAGGATCACTAAATGGTAGCATTCCCCAAGCTATTGGAGGGTAACCGGTCAAAACTGCGTCAGTACATACGTCAAGCTCACTACCATGAATACGAACCTGACCAAGTAACCCACCTCCCCATCAATCAACTAGGTGAAAGACGAGCTGCGTGGGAATGCCCTCAATGAATTACTTGAAAGAATGAAAATTCATGGACTACCAACGCATTTGGCCATCTAAACTGTAAAAAGAAATTTAGGGCTTCCAAGGAAAAAAACTAAAAAATAACCTGATCAGAAAAGTTTAAAAAAATGGGGAAAGCATAAAGGTGAGGAATGTCAATCAGACGAAAAACTAGGGAAATTACCAGAAATTTTTAGCAACTCTAGACGAATAAGTGATGACCCAATAAACACTCGACCCGAACCCGGAACCAGTGCCCTTTTTTGGATCATATTTCACCAGACAACCCTTGACCAGATAAGGACCCACGAAAAACAGATTTTTGCTCAAAATCGTCGGGTGAATCAAATTACTCCTAACAGCTGCGCTGATTTTCCCCAACTCAGATAGAAATATAGTCGTTCAAGAGAAAAAAGGAACACAACTACGAAAACATCAATTCCATGTTGAAAACAGCCCAAGAGTGAACGAAAACAGCGGTTCCTTCGTAAAACGGAGCGCTGATGCGAGAAAAAGTCCCACCTGCTGGTAAAAAGCTCGAAATTATAGTCGCAAGGCCTGAGAGTCTGAGAAAGAAATAAAAGAGCAAAGCCAAAAGTAGAGCCAACACCCGTCATTCAACCTCAAATGTTCAGAAAATGGCTAAAAAATTCCCCCCATATGCATATCCAACGTCATAGACAGAACCATCAGAATGTTTTAAATGAAATTTAAGAGAAGCTGTAACAGCTCTCAACTTTCACACGAGAACGTTCCAGAAAACGTCGATACAATGGGAAGAGTAGGTTCCAACCTCTCGAAGATCACGTAACTGGCAAACAACCCGGCAAATATTGACAAAGTAAACACCACCAGAATAAAACCATGAAAAAATCTCACCATCACAGGAGTGGAAAATGAAAATCCTTTCAAAACAATCAATTTTTTCTATGCAAAACGCTCACCTTGACCCGCATAGACTCAGTTCTTCTGCAGCATCGTGGAACTCATCCTCCATATCGCTGTACGCAGACACTAAAATCGTACTCAACTAAGAGAACTGTGACAATGCGACAAAGAAGAAGAAGCTCACATGGTGGGTTTAAGTTGATATTGTCCGTCAATGTGGCAGCCCTTTCCAGGCTTGAATGTTGCTTGGCAAGAGTTTCAAGTTGCTCCTTGATGGAAAGATGTTTAATGATGTCAAATCTTTCTTAAATTTTAGTTTCATTAAATTACCTGCAACATTATCTTCTCTCGACGTTCTGTAGCTACAACTTTACCCATCCGCTTTGAACCACGATCTGATAGATCAACAAACTCTTCTGCGGCTTTGAGGACAGCTGCTGTAGTAATCTGTAAAAGCTCATTACTCATATAGCTAGTGGTTAGTCTCTGAGGAGTGACAACTTTTGTGGTAATTGAGCAGCAAGCACTTTTGTTGTCAACCGAAAAATAGAAAATTGGCAGAGAAGAAAAAGAGTCATTGATAGCAAATTCAGCGACACCTGATAACGCGCCATGCTCTCAGCACCCACTCTTAATTACAAAAGTTTTGAAAAGCTTACCCATTACATCAATGACCAGTGATCGACAAGGGTTTGAATCAACTCTCTCAAATCTTCATACAGATTTTACATCACTAATCCGAGGCAAAAGTAATTTCGCCGCCTATACAGAATTGATGCGTAGGAATATGCCCATTGAGATGCCTCGAACACTGCTATAAACTCAGCTAAAAATGATGGTATTTTAGGAAATTCGAGACACCCCAAATGGAAGCCATTTGGTCGTAGACGCATTTGACCGCCTTGACTCCGTAGAAAAAGAGCTGGAGGCTGTGAACCCGAAAAGGATTTACTTAGTCGGGGCGTCTGGCCGAGTAAGAGTGCCAGGAAAAGAAACGTAGACTGAATGCCTCTCAGAAAATACCATTTGTTCATCGCCGCTGCTTACATGCCAGGATACCTAGCAAAATCCACTTTCTTTTCCAGTTCCATATTCTTTCATCCCGAAAGAAATGAGCCAGATGGGTACCAAAACTTATAGGTAAAGGAAAAATGTAGTAATAAGTGCTGATAGCGTCATGAAGAAACTCAAAGCCTGAAAGGGCCTTTCTTAGGCTGTCCTGCCCATGAATCAGCACTCAGAGATATGGCAAATAGAAATAAACCGTCTGTGAACGATCAAAAAACCAAAAAAAAACGTCTCACTTTGAGCAGGGCAGCCCTTTCAGATAGCGTTTTTCTATCGATTTCTGGCTCGTTTACACATCGAATCAGTTCATCACCGTGTTTATCTGCAAGAATACTAATTCTGATCAATTCTTGAATATAAAATGAATATGATACAGATAACTAGCATGGCCAGGATCGATTGTTCCTGTATCATGCAATATGAATATCGCATACCAAGAAAGAATTACGTCACATAGTCTCCTTGTGAACTTTAAAATCATGCCACCCCCCCCCCCCCCCCCCCCCCCCCCCCNCCCCCCCTCCCCTCCCCACATTCTCCAACTTCACCCTTTACCATGACCCTTAATACCCGCAATCACCGACTAAAAGATCAATCATCCCAGCGCTTATCGTATACGGTAGCGACCAGACGCCTGCCAATCTTTATCACCCCCAATAAAAGCGCTGACATGTCATTATGGCAACCATCGAAGCACTGAAAAAATCATCTAAGATTAGCCATAATTTGTAAACAACAAAACACGTTTTTGTAAATAGAATTTCACTCTTCTCTCATTATTTAAATGACAACACTTAACATAATCTAATATAAAGTAATCAAATGTACTATCAAAAGCCTGAAAATCTTGAAAACACGGGGCTTTTTTAAAGTATATTATTTCATCACCCAGAGGGGGTATTGTAGTGGCCTATACAATGACTCGTGGTGGCCAGATCATGTATGTACAAATCGGTGCTTTTATCTTCTCAGACGAGTCTGGTACACCAGAGGGATGGAAGGATTGGTTGGTCAGACGGATAACGACCCAGGGTTTGAAACCATGTCCATGCGTGTGTGAAGTGCGCCACTTGGCACTACACCACCTCTGTCCGAACATGATACATTAATTCTAAAATTCTAAAGGTCTGAAACGAGTGTCGAGCCATTACATTTTTGCATATAGCAAGAAACGGCTAAGTGATATCCACGCCTGGATTGAAAGCGAAAGCAAATAATCGTCGAGTGTTTTTGTGCAAAAAGTAGGTATTTTATCAAACTAGCTCAAGTTCAACCAAAATTGAAAATACACCAAACTCTTCCACCAACAAATTATGAAAAAGTTCGCTGATACGTTAGAAAAACAATCGAAATAGATTTCATATTGAATTTCGATTCTGCTCCTGTTAACGCATATTTTAGGATCTTAAAACCGGAATACTCGCCTCGATCATGCAGGTAACATGCCATTTTAAAATTGAAAAAATGACGTCAAAAATGATTAGAGAAACAGTAAAATAATTCTCCCTCCAAGCGGTACAGAATACGGGCAGAAGATGCACAGGTCAAAGTTCTATTCTCCCAAACGAGTCTGGTAGCAACAAACTAACCGCGGAGGGGTGGAACACCTGGTTGGATTGGGCGATTATCAATTCGGGTAAGTTCTCCGGGACATGGTTGGGTAGCAGTGGCGAAACGAATTCAGCACAACGTTCAAATCGTACGATGAAAGAAGAACAAGCAGACCAAATAGTCTTGCTCGCTCCATGCTAGCAGAGCTCCATCGTTTTGCTGCCATGGACGAAACTATGTAAGAAAAAAGGTCAAAAGACGGGAGATTGCTCCTACTTCCTCCACAAGGCACACTATGTCGCACTCTGCTCGAGAACTAGTTACACTTATTGACAAACAATATTACCCTCGTGATGAAAAAACCGGCGCTGGATTGAAAGGTGAGATAACGATCGGCGAAAAACAACGAGAACATAAATGAAGAAAAAGATTAACAAGGAAAACAACTTGGACTATAAAGAGCGATGGTTCGGTGTTGAATGGATGACCCTATTCTGAATTCAATTCTCCTGAGAGCAAAGAAGAAACGCGTGAAAACCTCATCGCTCGACAATTCTTTCATGTCATCTAACGATGGAGTGGAAAGAGTGATGATGAGGTATCAGTAATACATAGTAAAAGTCTGATGCAGATTGTAAGATTTGAAGAAATTGACACATATTCCTTTTAGGGTGTGAATTTTGCTTCTGCTAAATCCGACAATCAATCCTATAACATTACGTCGCACCACTCAATCTACAGTAAAAGTTTAATATTGCTGTAAGTAGCTAATACTGAAACGAGAGTAGAGGTGATTATTTCCTTCTACTACTCGATTTCGATGCGGAAAAAGGTGCTCACCAGCGGTGGCTGATGTACTAATCAGGAAGGATGTAATCCGAGCAAAGAAAATATCATAGAATGCAAAAAAAAAATCACGAAAACAATAGCATAAAAACAAAAAGGACTAGCGCTATTATTCTCAGAACTCTGCATGTTCCAAAGCCTAGAGAAAGAATGAAAGCCATCATTCCAGTTCGCAGAACTCTTCAATTTTCATGAACCTGCTGTGTGGAAATCCGTGGAAAACATTCATCTTCTCACTTTCATTGAATTTTTTCCATTTAAATTCTCAGAAAAGAACTTTTAGTGCCAATGAATGCTATTTTTTCAAGACATGAGTTTTTTAAACACCTACAGAAAACGATCAAGGCTTGTGTTTATCTACTCTTACTTTCATCAAATTCCTTTTGTTCAGAACCCGCTCTCTAGAGAGTGTAAAGTAATCCGATAGACATTCATTTGATCGATGTCAAATAAAAAAGGGCCACTTGCGGTTTGCTACTGAAATCCGCAAAGTACTTGGCCATGATGACAAAGCAGTAAAAACGGCTCTGAAAAGGCAATCAAACTTGTTGGAAGGGCGTATCCCGAAAACAAGAATTTGACTAAGGAAAAAAGGTTGATGTACTGCTACAACCACTTTGAACTGGACACAGTCACTGAAACTCAAACTTGACTTCTGAAAAAAGGAAAGATGGTTTTTTGTGCAAAAATAAGTTTGCAGAAACTGTTAGCGTGTTACTAGAATGCATACGCAACGACCGGGAGAAGAATCGAATTGACGTGGAAAAAGAGCTCCGAACATCTGCCTCATAAACAAACAACAGACCATCGGACATATCGCGAATATTCAGTGGCGCATTAGAGAAGCGATATTCAGATGTAAAGACATGAATGGAAATTCGCAATCTCAACGACATAGAACACAAAATACAACCGAAAAACGTTTTAAAGAATTCAATAAAACACCACCCACCTAATATACGAGCCGCTGTTTGCAAGTCTTCCAACTTACGGAGTAACTCCTTGTGAGTTTTCTGTAACACAGCAACACGGGACTCTCCAGTACCGATATGTGCATCTTCATCTTCATCTGAAAGAAATCATGAAATCGCAAAATCTTGAATTGCGTAGGCAGAAGTTTAGACTACTAATCAAAAACAGAGGTCAAGGAAGCCTTAGGTTCCGCGGTTTGCAGCGGAGCATGCTCTCTAAATGTTCTCAAATATACTTCCTTATCTGTTCCCTGGATTTTGCCACCTACAGTACCGAAGTATTAATCATGGCTAAAGATCTCGAATTGATTCGTGTAGTTAAGATTCATTCAAAACGCGCAAATTGGTGGTGGAATGGCGATTTATTAGCCGTGCATTGCAAACTGGAATTCATCTCCTACAGCGCAGCAATCCTATAATTTTCGAGTCATTCATTTCGTCATCTCGCCACCTACCCAGCCTCCAAAAAAATTTTTGGTGACTGTTTGCCCATGAAACAAAATACGTTTAATGTTCCCATTTAGTTAGTTGTTACTATGGTGACTACAGAAAAAGTAGCTACAAATGTTGTGATTAATTTTTCCGGAAAACCCATTTATTTCAATGGATATATGAGGCCATACTTACCGCTTTCAGCCTGTTTTATGGCTTTGTGACGTGAATACTCTAATGCACTTAGCCATTTCTGTCGATCAACGTCGTTACCAGCCTTCAAGTGAAACGTCTGCGATGACGCTGATATGACAATGTTGTTCGTTATCTAAAAACAAATTAATTGATGAAGGAATACACAGTTGCTGCCGCAAATATAATGTGCACACATTTATAGAGCACTTTTGTATGGGCGCATTCCAACATAAAATCCCACACAAAGAAGAGGGATTTGACGAAAATCTCGAAAAGAAAGGGAAAACTGCATTAATTTCACGTAAAAACTAAGAATTCATTCACTTGTAAGAGAACTTTGGCGGAGAAAAAAGGCAAGATTCCCACCGACCTTATCAGAAAGAATGCGGGCTTCCTGGAGATTGATACTTCCGCGGCATGACTGTCCAACTTCGCTGGGGCTTCTAAAATGCTCTG